TCAGCTGTTTCTGTGGGTTTTACCAGCTTGGTCTGGACCCCTTTGCCCATCACTCATTCTTCCCTGCAACTGGATTCCAGTTCAGTTCAGTGATTAGTTGTGGGTGTCTGCTTCTACTTCCACCAGTGCTGGATGAGGAATATTGGGTGGCATATAAGAAAGTCATCAATCTCATTATCAGGGGAGGGTATTTAAGGTAGCCTTTCCTCTGTTGCTTAGATTGTTAGCTGTCACCATAAATTTTTACCAGCACTAAAAGTTTATACTTTAAATTTTCTGCTATTCTAATAGAGAATCACAGATTTTAAAATTTATATAGAAAATCAACCAGTGATAATTTGGGATACTGTGAACAAAACAGCACTGAGATAGGAAAATATTTTATAACCAGCTGTCTAACCATAGTATAGATGTTTCAAAAAAAAAAAAAACATGGCATTGACCTAGACAGAGTCAAATAAGTAATATCTTTTAAGTTTGTGGATTCCAGGAATTGCCCATTTTTTTTTTTCACAATGGCATTCACAGTTCTAATAGTGTCTTTGATTTCAGAAGTCAGGGATTCTGATGAAAAACTCATCTTTTTTTAAAAAAAAATAGTTTCTTTTAGTTTTTAGTTATGTATGTGCCCGTGTCTGTATTTAGGTGTGTTTATGTGAGTGCAGGTGCCTGTGGAGGCCAGAAGTATAGGCTCGCCCCTGGATCCTGAGTTACAGGAATTGTGAGTTGCCACACTGTAGTGTGGTGATATATTATTTATGATTTAATAAAGACTGCCCGAAGTATCAGAAAGCAAAGCCAGCCACGCTAGTTAGCTGTAGAAGCTAGGCAAAGGTGGCACACACCTTTAATCCCAGGACTCAGGAGACAGGCAGGTGGATCTCTTTGAGTTCAAGGCCACCCCGACCTACAAAGAGTGAAGAATAACAGAACTCAGGCCTTTGATCCCGGCACTTGGGATCACACACTTTTAATCCCAGCACTACAGAGATGGAGACAGGAGTGACATGACTGGGCAGAGAAAGGAATATAAGGAGCAGGAGACAGGAATTCAGAGCATTTGCCTCTGAGGATTCATGGAGACAGGATTGCCATTTCAGCTTGGTATAGGTAAGATCTATTGGTTTGGCTGCTTTACTTTCTGATACTTCAGGCAATCTTTATTAATCATAAATAATACACCACCACACTGGGGTACTGGGGACTGGACATGAATCTTCTTGTGTATGTGCTCTTAACATCGAGCCAACTCTTCAGTTATGGAAGAACTCACTTAAATTTTAAAAAATAGAATAGTTTTATTTATTTGTTAGAATAGGTTTTCTAAAATATAAAAAAAATTAGAAATCTAATACATTTAAAGGAAGGGGGAATGTGATGTAATTCTGTTTTAATTAAAACTTGTTATATAGAATAGTTTATATTTATTCTCCAACACTTTCCGTATATGTAAACAATGTATTTTGACCATATCCTTCTCTGACACTCTGTTCCAATCCCCTAAAGTCCCTAACACCCGTTTCTCTTTTCATGTCCTCTTTATTTATTTATTTTTATTTTTTGGTAACTAACTGGGTCCTGTTTTGTGATGCACGTTGGAATATTGACTCATTTGGTTGGCTTGATCTTAGGCAGGTCAGCACAGCTGGAGTGAGTTCATGAGAGCAATGTCCATGCTATGTCTATTAGACAGTGTGTCAGACTCTCCTTCCCATCCTCCTGACCTTACATTCTTCCTACCCCCTGTTCTGAGATGTTCCCTGAGTCCCGTGAGTATGTGTGTGTGTGTGGTGTGTTGATATAAATTTCTCATTTAGGTTAGATATCAATTAAAAATGTTACTAAAAGGCTCAGGGACAGATAAAGGATTTTTGCTTTCTTTTAGATGCTGATTGTGTCTTCCCATTCTGGTACAGACATGAAATATTCTACGACTGTGTCAATTTCAATGCAAGACACAAGTGGTGTTCTTTGAACACGACTTTTCAAGGTTTCTGGAAGTACTGTTCTTTCTCAGGTAAGAGTCTTGACTATAAATTCCACAGGTAGGGGGATCATCCCCTGTCTTGGGGACCATTTGGTGTGACAGGCAAGAAGTCAGAATCCAGGGAAAATTCTGAGTGAAAATACAGAGACACACAACTTCTTTGTTGCTGTTGTGTGAGAATGTGTGGGTGTGTATCTGTGGTGTGTGGGGAAGCCAGAGATTGATGTTGTGTATCTCCTTCTATTACTCTCTACCTTATTATTACTTATTAAATTAACCCTGGAGCTTGCTAATTTGTTGAGATTACCTGCTGACCAGGGGAATCTGCCTTTCTCTACCTCCACAGTGTTGAGATTAGAGGCATGTAATACTATGCCTGGCTTTTTTGGGGGGGGTTGTCTTAGGGATCTGAACTTGGATCCTCCTGTTTGCACAGTGAGGACTTCATACACTGTCTTTCCAGTCCCCAAGATACATGATTTTTGATGGCATCAAAATCACATATAATCAAAGATGCATTAGAGGTGTTTTGACTCCATCATCTTTATAAGGAAACTACTAGAAGCACATGAAAGGAGAAGTGGATTGTAGGGTTAGTACCAATGTAACTTCCATAAGCTATTGGTGGACTAAGGAAGAGGATATAGTGCAGAAGTCTGTGTGTGTGTGTGTGAGTGTGAGTGTGTGTGTGAGTGTGTGTGTGAGTGTGTGTGTGTGTGTGTCTCTCTGTGTGTGTGTGAGTGTGAGTGTGTGTGAGTGTGAGTGAGTGTGTGTGTGTGTGTGTGTGTGTGTTGTAAAGAAGAAAGCGTTCCTCTTCCCAAAGACTCTTTCTCTTACAGACTATGCTCAGTGTTCCTTTCCCTTCTGGTTCAGAAACATGATCTACTGGGATTGCACAGAGGATGGGGAGGTGTTTGGAAAAAAGTGGTGTTCACTCACCCCAAATTTCAACAAAGACCAGACTTGGAAATATTGTAAATAATGGTGAGATTTACTAGATAAAGATGAGGAGGAGGGAGAGGAGGGGGGAGAATCGGGGGGAGGAAGAGAAGGAAGGAAAATACTGATTTTTCTTGGGGAAGACTTTTCCTCTTTCTTTTAGTCAGGAGAGGAAGAGGTGCAATCTTCATTACAAGTTTTTGCTTAAATTTAAATTTTCTTTTTCTAGGATGTGAGTTGAAGATGCTCTGACTGTAGAAGACTTGGGGTTTAGATGATGGATTATAGTATTTTATGGAGAATTATTGTTTAGCTCCCACACTTTATTTGCTATGTGTATAAAATGAAGCACTTAAAAATACCAGGTCAGGTTAAAGCATCCTGTCAATGTAGTTTCTTTAGATGTCACAGTCACACTACTCAGATGGGGGTGTTGATAATAGGGGAAGTAATACTTGTGTGGGAACAAGGAGAATATGAGAAACCTTATAACTTCTACTTGGTTTTGCTTTGAAGATGAAAATGGTCCAAGTAAGTCAATTAGGAGTTCATTGTGAAGAAAAGCCAAATTCTGAGAACTCTTGCTCTGCACCGTGTCCCCTTTGTTTTGTATCTGCACCAACTCATCTCGTGATCCACCCTGCCCCTTCCTAGCACCATTTGTTTGTAACAGTGAAGAACACTCAGAAAATGCCTCATCTTTTTACCCAAAAGAAGGACAGCAGACCCCAAACCTACCCTAACAGATGAGAAGGACTTTTCTATGGAAACACCACAGCAACACAAAGCAGCTTTGGAATACTCTACTGACAAGCAAAGACTTCCTAAATTGTCCAAAAGGGGAAGTCAACTGAGCAGAATTCAAAGGGTTTCAAATAGAAGATAGTGAGGAATTATCAATACTAGACAGTGAGAGCTGTCTCTTGTACTGTGTGAATTGGTGGGTGCTGTACCTATCTCCTGATTCATCTAGAACATAAAAGAGCTTGTGCAAACCTTAACCGCTGTGGGCTTATTGCTATAGGTACCAAGATGATGGGAAGAGCTCCAGTGAGCTTGTCAGCAGGGTTCCATGAAATCTGGTTAGCTAGACAGTTGGCAGGATGTGGGGCTCCATACTCAGAGGCTCCCATCTTGGAACCCAGATAGCAATCTTTTTTTAAATTTATTTTTATTTTTTATTTTTTTATTAGTTCAAGTTAGGGTACAAGCTTGTTTCACATGTAAGTCCCTTCTCCCTCTCCCTCTCCTTACCCCCATCCCTCCTCTCCCACCCCCAACCTACCCCCCACCCCATCTACCCACCACTCCCCAGGCAGGGTAGGGCCCTCAACCGGGGCTCCGCAAAGTCCAGA